TATTATTTATCTCTACAGTTTCACTTTTAATATTTAAACTTACTTTTAGATAATTAGTTACATCTACCAGGTTTACAGTTGATTAAACTAACTTACTTTACATCATTAGATAACATCTACCAGGTTTACAGTTGATTAAACTAACTTACTTTTAGATAATTAGGTAACATCTACCAGGTTTAGAGTTGATTAAACTAACTTACTTTTACATCATTAGATAACATCTACCAGGTTTATGGTTGATTAAACTAACTTACTTTTACATCATTAGGTAACATCTACCACGTTTACAGTTGATTAAACTAACTTACTTTTACATCATTAGATTACATCTACCAAGTTTACAGTTGATTAAACTAACTTACTTTTAGATAATTAGGTAACATCTACCACGTTTACAGTTGATTAAACTAACTTACTTTTACATCATTAGATAACATCTACCAGGTTTACAGTTGATTAAACTAACTTACTTTTAGATAATTAGGTAACATCTACCAGGTTTATGGTTGATTAAACTAACTTACTTTTAGATAATTAGGTAACATCTACCAGGTTTAGAGTTGATTAAACTAACTTACTTTTACATCATTAGATAACATCTACCAGGTTTATGGTTGATTAAACTAACTTACTTTTAGATAATTAGGTAACATCTACCAGGTTTAGAGTTGATTAAACTAACTTACTTTTACATCATTAGATAACATCTACCAGGTTTATGGTTGATTAAACTAACTTACTTTTACATCTTTAGATAACATCTATCAGGTTTATTCTGCATTTTTTTTTCATACCAACTGAAGTTTCATATTACTTTACACTAATTCTCTATTTGATTTTCACATTTTGTACAAAACAACTTTTATTTGATGTGGCACTATCTGTTGTCTGTTATTATTCACTGGAGTGTCAACAGTAAGTTTACAGACATAAAATTGTGGGTTTGATTCACCAAGATGGGCAGAGGCCAGATAGCACATGTTTGTACTAAAACAGCATCTCGTTATTTTTTCACTAGTTCCTTGTTCGAACCATCTGAAATATAATGTTATTTTATACGTTGCTTCAGGCTACTTCAGTATGTTATTTTATACGTTGCTTCAGGCTACTTCAGTATGTTATTTTATACGTTGCGTCGGGCTATTTCAGTATTTTTAATATCACACTTTAATGCTGTTGATGGAAACGAGGAGGTTTAACTTTTAGAATTATGTCGGTGTTACTATTTGGTTTGAAGTTAAAGACTGATTAGTTTTATATTTTATTTGCTAAAGCTATAGAACTGTTGATAAGGGTGCTTTAATATACAACTAGTAAAAGAGGTCTTGCTGTTTTTATGTAGATATTAACTGATATTTAACTTCCTAAGTGTGTATTCGTATATGTCTTTGCGAGTATTTTCTTTTGTAATGATTAATTATAATAAAATGCAGTTTTATTATCCAGCCAGTTACACCAGATATGTAACTCACAATGAGCTTAATGACTGCAGGTAAAGTATCATAATAAAAAGATAAGTTAAAAGTGATGTGTTTTGAATGTCAGGGTTATTAGACATGTTATTTACTTCAAGGTCGTGTGACTTTTGGGAAGGAGGTTACTGGTAAAGATCAGACTGTTAAGTTAGCTCTCAACAACAATGACGAGGTAAGTGTATACTGAATAAGATATAGATACTGTTTGTTACTTAAGGGTATTGTTACCTTATAAAGAGTAGTTTATTCTTTGTTAAGCTATAACGCTTCTTATAGTACAGTTTCCTTATACTCTCTGTGCATGTTATATGTAGGAAAAACTTGTTTAAAGACTTTTTTGATGGAATTAGATAATAAGACTTGATGACTTCTAACTAATTAGTTCACAACTAATATTTACATTTTTGTTTTGAAAAAACAATTTGAAGTGTACAGACAAATGTAGGATCTGGGTTACAGGTGCTGTGAAAAAAGTGGCCTGTCTTATATAATTGTCTATATAATTGGCCTGTCTTACATTTAACACTTAATGTGGTGTGTGTTCTTTAATTTCTGTAGTGTATTTTTAAATTCTTATGGTGTGTGTTTTTAATTTCTAATAAATTGTATTTTATTTTACAATTTGGTTCTCAGGAAGTATGTAACAAACAATGTTTTGTTGTATGCTCAGGTACTCAAGAAGTATGTAATAATTTTACACTTTGGTTCCTGGGAAGTATGTAATAAATGGTTTTATTGTATGCTCAGGTTCTCAGGAAGTATGTAATAAGTGTTTTATTGTATTCTCAGGAAGTATGTAATAAGTGTTTTATTGTATTCTCAGGTTCTCAGGAAGTATGTAATAAGTGTTTTATTGTATTCTCAGGTTCTCTGGAAGTATGTAATAAGTGTTTTATTGTATTCTCAGGTTCTTCAGAAGTATGTAATAAGTGTTTTATTATATTCTCAGGAAGTATGTAATAAGTGTTTTATTGTATTCTCAGGTTCTAAGGAAGTATGTAATAAGTGTTTTATTGTATTCTCATTTTCTAAGGAAGTATGTAATAAGTGTTTTATTGTATTCTCAGGTCTCAGGAAATATGTAATAAATGGTTTTATTGTATTCTCAGGTTCTAAGGATGTATGTAATAAGTGTTTTATTGTATTCTCAGGAAGTATGTAATAAGTGTTTTATTGTATTCTTAGATTCCAAGGAAGTATATAATAAGTGTTTTATTGTATTCTCAGGAAGTATGTAATAAGTGTTTTATTGTATTCTCAGGAAGTATGTAATAAGTGTTTTATTGTATTCTTAGGTTCTAAGGAAGTATGTAATAAGTGTTTTATTGTATTCTCAGGTTCTAAGGAAGTATATAATAAGTGTTTTATTGTATTCTCAGGTTCTAAGGAAGTATATAATAAGTGTTTTATTGTATTCTCAGGTTCTAAGGAAGTATATAATAAGTGTTTTATTGTATTCTCAGGTTCTAAGGAAGTATGTAATAAGTGTTTTATTGTATTCTCAGGTTCTCAGGAAGTATATAATAAGTGTTTTATTGTATTCTCAGGAAGTATGTATTAAGTTTTTTATTGTATGTTTAGGTTCTTGAGAAATGTGATGTAAACAGTTTCTGTTTTATACTCCTTTATTCTCTTGTATATGTCATACTTGCTTTATTCTCTTGTATATGTCATACTTGTTCCTTAGATCTTTACGTATTGTTTCATGAGAGACATGCAAATTCAGGGTCATTTCACGAGTGTGTGTTGTCTTGGGTTAGACTCAACAAGCGTCTTCAGAGCATCAATATCAATTACAACATGTCGGCCTCTGCCATCACAGTGTTTAAGGCTAAAATCACCTGAATGAAATTTGCTGAACCATCGTTGACACTTATGAACGTTCAGAACATTTCCATAAACTTCTTTGATATTATTTGTGGCTACAGAGATGTTGTTTCCCTTCTTTATTCAAACAGCATTACATGCCGAATGTGTGTGTCATCACTATAAAGGATTAGAGCATACTAAACTTTACACATTATATAGGCTACACTAACGTGACGTTTAGGCAGTTCATTTAACTATTATACATGATGTACGTTTTTTGGGGGGTGGTTAATGAAAGTGCTCTAAAACGTGACTTTAATTTCTTGACGACCTTATGTAATGTCCTATTAATGTTATTTATTCTACTGCATGAAATTATTAGCATTATTTATGTTATATAGCGTAGAATGTTTTACCCTGAAAGTATGGAGAATTTTTCATGATCTCCTATTCCCTGTCCATTCCCATAACCACACAGGTTATATTTCTTGTTGTAATTTAGTTGAAATATGATGATTAAAAGTGTCCTCTTTATTAGTTGTACTTGAGACAAAAAGTTATTTTATCCCACAATTATCAAATATCTGTAGAGTTTAACCATAATGGAAAACAAGCAAAGGTAGAAAAACAAATTAGACAACCTGTCAGCAGAAAGAACACAGTCGTCAATGGCAGTTAAGTTTAGAATAAAATAACTCAACATGGTTTCAGGTGTAGAAAAAAACAACTTCATAAGCTTTTCCCATGACGGAACAACTGTTCTACAAGAAACATGACGAATATAATGAATGATTTATTGTTCTCCTACCAGTGATACACTATTTAAAAATAGGTACAAAACATGTTACAGTTTTTTGTTGCATGGGATGTAACGTGTTTGGATGTTACAATTGTAATTATAAGTTAAACATCAACTTCCTAGTTGAAAACTGTGTACCACAAGGAAATATCATCATCGTACTGACTGCAAGTCAATAAAGTATGTATCCATCAAACCAAATCATCCAGCCACACATCCTAGTTGATATGCCACTCCTCCACAAGATGTAAGTGCAAATGAGTATTTATGTTATAACATCCATGGACGAACCACTTAAACTATCGGATACGTCTCCCATCAGGGTTGTCAGAAGTCATTGTTGGTGGATTTCGGAAAGCTTGCAAAGAATATTAAAACAGCAGTAGTGTCATTGTATCGTGCTAAAGATTCCTGCAATGGAAATTACATTGTAGAGCAACAGCCTATAACCAGGGCTAACAAAAATAAAAATCATGACCAGTAGTGAACGAATTCACCTTTGTGTTGTTATCATGGACAGGAAAGAGCTGTGAAATGTCATGAAGGTAATGATCGTTTTACAAACCAGTTAGGTACTTTAAGTCATCGTGACCCTTTCACAAACCAGTTATGTACTTTAAGTCATTGTGACCCTTTTACAAACCAGTTATGTACTTTAAGTCATCGTGACCCTTTCACAAACCAGTTATGTACTGTAAGTCATCGTGACCCTTTCACAAACCAGTTATGTACTTTAAGTCATCGTGGGCTTTGGTAAAAATTCTCTGTGAATTGAGTGAAAGAATTTAAATCAGATATGTAGAGACTTAATGTGAAAAACAGTGTTTTATATATAAATTACTATTTTTTGCTGAACAAAAATTATACTTTGTGTACGTAGAATTATTGATTTTGTAATTGTTCGTGCTGGTTAGAATGGAGACCAAGGTTGGATACACACTATCGCCTCTTCCTTAGTGCAGTTGCAGAGATTGTTTGGTCCGATCCACTCTCGTTTTGGCCAAGGGCGCTGTGCTAAGGTACAATTGCTTTATTCTCTTGTATATGTCGTACTTGCTTTATTCTCTTGTATATGTCATACTTGGATAGGAAAACGCCATAAAAAAGGTGCTTGGGTGCCACACATATACTCAGATGATCATCGTTTCCAACGTGGGACATTAATGGACTAATTCATTTCGAACTCCCTCAATCCACAGCAAACTGTCAATGCAGAGATCTATAGTCAGCAACTGGAATGTTTAAATCACGCCCTTCATCAGAAACGCCCTTCACTCGTCAATCGGAAAGGTTTTTTCTTCTCCATGATAATGCACGTCCACATGTGGCACATTTGATGCAACACAAGTTTATGGTGTTGGGTTGGGAAGTTCTCCCCTACCCACCATATTCTCCAGATATGGCACCATCAGATTACAATCTTTTTCATTCGCTGCAACACCATCTTAATGGGTAAACATATGCAAATGTGGAAGATGTTAAAGAGGACATTGATTTGTTTTTGCTTCAAAGCCAAGTG